AAAAACCCAACAATTTTTGTCTTTCCCTTACTACACAGTTTTATTTTGAAAGCCAAAAGAAGGGAAATGAAAATAGAGACAATAAAAATTATACTCATCAATAAATGTGTTACAAATTTATCTCACAAACATGTACTTTCTTTTCCCAACCTATGCAATTTGCAATTTAAAAAAATAAAATGTATAAAAGGTTTATATAAAACATATTTAATATATACAAATGCAAGTGCTTCATACACATTCAACTATAAATAAAGCTATCAAAACATTTCTCTTTAAATGATTAATATGTTATTGGCAAAAAGCCATAGATTAATAATGAAAACATTATATTATACACAGCTATAATTTAGAACTTCATTCCAAGAACTGCACTACTTAGACTCAGAGATGCTGCCCTACTCTTCTCATTAACTCTGGGCATTTGACACAGCTTTGCCAGGTCAATCCCACCTGTTTGTGCAGGATTTTCTTAAATGACAGAAATTAAGCAAAAAAACCTGCAAAAGGTGATCAGTGAAGGGTTTGTTTTCATTACTTCAGCACAGATGATAAACTTATTAGGTGCTGGGAATTCTGCTCCCTCACTGTGGTACAGGATTTACATTCCTATGAGGAAGGTAAAAAATGTTCTTGAGGCACAGAAAATGAAATCCAGTGCACACAACTTGTAGAAATGCTTAAAAAGAAACTTCAGGCAAAGATTTACAGTTGTTAATATGATGTCACCCATAAAATTGACCCTAATTAAAGGAAAAATATAAGAATATTGGATATGCTTAGTGGGAGTTATATCAGCACTATTCACCACTTTAGAAAGAACAGACCATGTTAGGGGTATGGAGGGTTTTTACATATCAAAATTACAAGATATGATGTGTAATGAACCCAAATGGTTACTGGAACAGACATCTACATTTCCAATCATAAAATCATTAAGGTTGGAAAAGATTCCCAAAACCATCAAGTCCAACTTGCAAAGATGGGAGATGCAAACTAGAACAGATTTTCAGATGTGTATTTTGTTATGCTCAGTCTCACTGAATACTTCACTGCTTCCCAAGCCACATGCACATAGCAGCACCATAATTTTAAAATTTTGTATTGTACCAACACTTAGGAACCATAACCTATAAACTTACTATGCAAAATAGCCAGTCTTTTCTACAAAGAAGTTCTGTGTAGTATGCTCAACCCCTTAATTTAATATATTCCTTGTTGCAGGCTTACTTAAAATTGAACCATACAGAATATAAGAAATACACTCTAATACTATATTCTATCTAAACAATATAGTGGATATATATACACACAAATCCAATATCCTTTGTTTTGATACATTTCCATAACTGCTCATATATCAAGCAGCTGTCTAGACTTAGATCTCACAGTTAGAGAAAGCACATCCCTGCTTGCTGTGTGTATCTCTCCTAAGAACTTCACAGTCCACGAATGTATGTACAAGTAGAACAGCAACCAATGGCAGGATAAGGGTTTTACAAGTGGAGTAATCCAAGGGATACATGGCTACAATGAATCAGAGTTGTTCTAAAAGTGCCATCTGATAGCACAGTCAGGCATGAACAGCCTGTGGCAATCCAGGCCATCTCAGCAGCACATAAACTTGGATGTGGGTCTGGTGAGAGTTAATTCCCCCTCTGATGAGAAACTCATATATGAGGTTATGCCATTCTGATATCTACAGATATCCTGGGGTACAGCACCCCCCAAGCAATCATCTGTGAGGTTCAGACTGTGCCAAACTTTCAACAAGGGCAAGACAAATCCTTTCCAAAAAATCAGTGTCATCTATTTCTATAAAAGAAGTGGTAGGACAGCTCAGGCTTGCAGGCATAAAAGCACTTGCGTGTTTCCAGTCAGTTTTTACACAAATTCATGAATACACTGAATTGTCAAGTTAGGTGCCAAACTTTTAGTCACAAAAAAGAAAAATATTAATTATGTGATTTAAGAACTAAGACTACCACCTCATCCTATAGCACTTCATATTATTAATGAAATGTTATTTTTTATCAGTATATTTTTCATTTTCATATTATTTTTAATCTCAATTCCTCTGCTTTCATGTGTGCAACCAGAAGACATAACATACACAGTGAGACAGCTGTAATCTTCTCTAAGGACAGTTTATACTCATCTTTCCAAGAGTTTATACTTCACATTATTTTTCCAACAGTTTATACTTATCTTTTCAACTTCCTTTTTCTTCTAAAGATGTAAAACAATGTTGAAGCCTTTTTTTATCCTTCTGAGAAGCAAATAGATTATTTAGCTTTAGCAAACTCAAGCCAGTTTTAAGTGGAGTTAAAAGAACAGAAGTCTTGTATTAGTCAAAGTTAAGACTACAGAAGTCTTCAGCACTTCATTTTACTTTCTGTTCTCAAACTAACTCTGATGAAAAATGCATGATGTAAAATTAAGGGTGCAATTTATTTACAATTCTGATCTAATTACAGCAGAAAGCATATTAGCATTATAAGACAGTCTTTTTAATTCTGCAGCATTATTACACCAAACAGATTGTATTAATTTTTAAATTAATTTCCATCAAAAGGATAACCATACAAGTAAAAATGTTATGAGTATGCTTGCTCTCAAATACTGAAACAAGTATTTAATGTTCTTCCTTAATTTAAATAACCTCAGTCTAAATACAGTTAAAGACCTTTGGTTATCTAATATTGGGTCTGTTCCAATACCTACAGTTCATTAACTATTTCATAAAATAAAGTTATTCTTTCTGAAAAAATATTAACCATTATCAAGCTGAAACTGTCAAAAAACCCCAACTAAATTCACTATTGTTTCCTCAATATGTACGAAAGGCAGTGTGAAACACTGTCTTGTTACAAAATTTAAAGTTCACCTTAACTACTACATATCAAACTTGTCAAATCCTTTCCCAGGTGACTCCTACCTAAGGCCAACCAGCTTTAGGAAGAGCAAAATTCCTTCCCTTTTTACCCCATCTTTTTCCTCCCTAGTTAAACTGCACACATTTGTAAAAAGCTCTCACAGAACCAACTCATCTTGAAATTGAAATTCTAAAAAGAGATCAAAGAATAAAAGTGAGAATTACAACTAAAGCCCTTCTTAGAATTGTAGTCAGTCAGAGGACAGATCTGAAACACTTCAGTAATTGCCATACTTTTCCTTTACTATTCATACTACATACTTTTTAAAGTATTTAAAGAGGCTTCTACATGGTTTGCTTCTGTGCATTCCTCAACAGTTTGACAGCTACCAGTTCACAACCAGCTTCTGAAGGAAACATTAAACATCTGTCCGACCAGATAAACTCAAGGTCAGAATCCAATTTATACAATTTATTGCATACCCCAAAATAATAAAAACCACACCAAGCAATTTTATAACTATCTGGCTTCCGGCTGTTTCATTTCAAAGAGGAAAAACATTAAAATTTCAAATACTGCAAAGTTGTTTTGTTTTCACACCATGATAAAAACCAAACCAAACCCCTAAACTTTAAAGGCTCTCCACAGATCTCAGAACTTCCCCTCTATTTCTTGGTACAAAGCAAAATGCTAGAACTGATGTCAGTGAGATCGAAGCAAGTCCAAAAAGGTTCTGACAAATAGAACACAAAAGTCACAGCACCAGAAAGTTTTATTAGACCTGCTTTTCATTGCCTGGCTGATATCCCATATGCTCCTCAAAAATGATGCTAAGCTCTGGGTTCCTCATCACCCCCACTTTTCCTGGAGCCCATTTCCTCTTCACCCCAGGTATGGATCTCTGACAAGAGAGGCTACGTGGGTGCACCCTCTTGTTTTCTTAGGCAGGGAAGGAGAAGGGAAATGTTTATCCAAACCAACAGATTGCATCTACTGCATCATTCAGTTAATCAAGCTCATCTGAACAGCACTGCTGGATATCCATGTTCCATTAACATCACCCCACAGTTTACAGAAAAAGTTCCACTGCTAGGAATTGACAATTACACGCTCCATAAACATAAGCAGAAGTTGTAATGGAGAAGCAATCTACTGAACCAAGACCAAAGATTAAGCGTGTTAAGCCCTTATCTCTACACTAATGATCTGAAATTAACAGGGGGGAAAAGAAAAATGCTGCATTGTCTCCTTCACAGGCCTGTGTCCTACAAACTAAGAGAATCAACAGGCAGTAGTCAAGGTTCTTGCCTTCCCCTTTTTTTTTTTTTCCAGAAAGACAACATTCTGGTTTCTCAGGTAGAGAGAATATTGGTAGCAAGACAGCTTTTTAAAGCTGTCTTCTGTAAATTGTGTTTGATTGTCAGAGTTGCATCTGTTTTGAAATGCACACATTGAAAAATAGCAAACAATTTTTATGTCATCTTGTCCTCCTTGTGGAGGACTCAAATACTTGCAGTAGATGGGCACATTATACTAAAACAACTGCTGAATTTTTTGGTAAGCGAAAAGTAACAAAATCCAACATACACAAAGCTTTTTATATGTTTTCTATTATTATTGAACACATGAAAATCAAGAATAATAAGTGTGTATTTTTAGGCAATGAGCATGAGCACAAAGACACAAAGCAAAGGACAGAGCAACATAACCACTGCAATTCTTGCAGGAAATCAGCCATACAAACCTTACCAAAGGTCTTAAAAACATGTTTCTCTAAGTAATTTTGAAGACAATAAGTCATTATATTTGCATCTAAATCATAAACCACTAAGTTTTCTCTGTTGCACTTCAGAAGTACAAGCAGCAGAAGGAGCAACACCATTTTATCTGAATAAGATCACGTAGTCTTGCTTTCTGCAGTGACAGGAAAACAACAAGAGAAAGCAATGTCTGCATCAACTGGTTAGGTTTATTCCCTCCTTAACAAGACTCCTTCAGGGTCAAATAACAGCTCAGAGACTTCAGTTATCATGCTTTGACTCAAGCACCAGTCACTGTAATCCATTTCACCCCATCAACCAAATCAGATGGTTTCAGCCCCTCACTCCCCAAATCCCCACATACCTGTCCTTGTAAGGCTGCACGACTCCTGCCCTGCAGGTGCTGATTAGAAACTGAAGAATGCCAGGGATGGATCTGAGTTTGCGACGGTGCCCGAACGAGTTCAGATGACGGTGTCACTTGCTGAGGGGTTATGTGGTGCTCCAGGTCATGCTCTAAAACATGGCTTGTGCTATCCTGGACAAAGGCAGAGTCATCAAACTGTGGCAGAAGGTCTTCCTGCAAGAGGTCATCTGGGTCAAGTCCTGTGAATGGTTCACTGTGAGTCTCCACTTGATGAAGTAAGTTGTCATCTAAAGATGTAAAACCGTTGCTTTCAATAGGGTCAGTGAAATGGCTTATCTGAGAAGCAGAACCAGTAGAAGCTGGAAAATTAATATTCACAGGAGAGAGTTTTGAACTACTAAAGTTGCCCTGAGGATGCGCAGAATGCAACATTTGAAAAGTACTTGAATTCAAAGTTGCGTTAGGATTCAACATGTGCTCGGTTGTTTCTTGCTTGGTCCCTGTTTGAGATGTAAAGGCATCGCTTCCAGTGAAGTCAGAGATAGAGTGTGTCTGCTGGCTGGTAGAAAGAGCTGTTGTAGGCTGAAGAAGGCTGGTAGGAGAAATGTGATTATTAGAGTAGGAATACGGAGATGAAAATTGTTGACTATTACTGACAGAACATGGAGTAATAGTTGGGGACTGTCCATCAAAATTTCCTTCTTGATTCCCACAAAAATGTATTGAAGCACTTGCAGTTTGAGAAAACTGTTGAACGGACAGAGGCTGCTGTGAAGTCGATGGATTAGAAACTGAAGGTGGGTGGTTAACACTGACTCTGAGGGAAGTGGACACATTGACTTCCATGAAGTCTTTTGGCTGACTCAGAGCATCCTGCCCCGTGCTGCTCCTGCCCTGCTGCGGCCGTAGCGAGGCACACTGATGCTGTGGTTCATTAGCCTGAAATAAGGCAAAGTCATGGTGTGCTACAAAGCTTTTGTTTTGCTGCATAGACTGAGAATGTCCTTGGTGAAAAGGGGACCCATTTTGATTGGAAACAGTCGTGGCAGTTTGATGACCCCACATAGGACTGCCATCGGCCACATCTGGAAACATCCCATTGGACTGGTTTTGCGGATGGACTGGTGAACAATTGAACTGAGAGTGTGGGGATAAGACATTGTCAGCTGAGCTATTAAAAGACTGATTTACTGAGTGAAGCTTCAGTGAATCATACTGATTCAGCTGATCAAACTCACTCATCTTCTGTTGATTTTGAGCATCTTGCACATGGTTCAGTGAGTCTATGTGCAAAGGTTCAAATTCTGCACCCAAATTCAATTCATCAACAAGTGAAACAGGTCCAGGTTGAACAAAGGCATCATCTGACAAACCTTCTAAGGTCTCACTAAAAAGATTGGCATCATCAAAAAAATCCATCATAGGATCAGTCATCTTGAGAGGTCTGTTCTGCTTTTGCTCTCAACTCCAAATGGAGTCAATTTTGTCTCTCCACAGTGAACAGAAACAAATGACATCCAGCGGTCACCACCTTATCCAAGGCATGCCAGCAGCCATTAGTGCTCCTGATGAAACATCTGTCTTCAGGTGTTAAAGCATCCTGAGGGAGAGGAGTGAGGGGGAAAAAAAAGGAAAAATTTAATTACTCTCCTCATTCTTCCTGACCCTTCCCAACACTTTTAAGGGTACTTAATGCTTTGCTCATAACTTTAGCTATACCAAAAATCAAGTAAGTTATTTTTGCTTATACTTGATGCCCTGTGCAGGTTTTATAATATTTGCCCCTTATAAAAATACATTTTAAATGTAATGGTTTCATATGTTTTATTCACTGAAAGCAAAGTTTTAGATTATCCTTGGTCATATTCATTAAAAGGACCAAATTGCACCAAAATTGGCTTTTAGTGCTCCAGGATTAAAATTTGTTTATAGCAAAGAAATCATACATATGTGAGATGTATGTAATAATTCTGTATACTTAATAAAAAAAACTTGAAAGTTATTAACTACATTTAAGTCAGGCTTCATTAGGAGAAACTGGGATACTTTGTTTCTTCTATTTCAGTTGCATTATGCAAGCTCCTGAGAAACTGTATTTTATTGCACTTAGGACATAACAGACTCTTGTTAGAAGGAAAGACAAGAGAATGAATACAGTGATACAAAGAAAACACAAAAAGAACAAGCAAACTCCTTTGGTTCAAAGGAGTTTGCACACCTAGTTTTGAAACATTTGAGACTATATATTCACAGTATCACAGAGTGATCACCAATTAATTGATTTGTAGTAAGGGATTTAAGGAGAATTGAAAAGCATGGTAAATTTAACTTTAGCCTAAAACCTCCCACATTTATAGTGTATCAAACAGAATGGGAAATGACTGAAAATGTGTGTCTGTGACAATGTACCTCCCCAGACAACTGGTAACTCTGTAGAATAGGGAAGCAATCACTTTAAATGAGCACCTTCATAGAATAACCATTCATTTATCCTGTCAGTACATACGTTTAATTAAAGGAAAAAAAAAAAGAAAAAAAAACAGACACAACTTTTAATTCCTGACCCTCCCATTAAAGCTCACCTTCAATTGCAACTCATCATTAATGAATTTTCCTAAGAATAAAATGAGCATAGGATCTTTCCAGAAATGAACATCCAGTAAATCTGAAATATTCTCTGATAGAAAAGGTTCATGCTGAACCTGCTAAGCCCAAAGTACTTCTTGGCAAGCTGATGAGAACCCATTCTGCACACACCCCTAGGCCACTGAGGGTGGTGTGGCCATAGTGAGAATAAAGCCAGACTCAAATCCACAAGCCTCCTTTAGGGTTTGAGTATATGAGACTTGTGGTGTGTACAGAGAAGGACAGAGGGATCCTGTATCATCCTGAGAGACACAGATCAGGCATGGTGTCAGTGAGGAGGAGAACAGGCATGAGAAAAAAGAAGGGACAGAAGCTTAGGGAGATGACACCTCAGCACAGCAAAGCTGCTGTGGACCCCAGATGATACACATGCAAGTTTTTGCTTGAAGTTGGGAACTCCTGAAGTCCCAAGAAAAAGAAGCAGTAATATAAATTAGACCTCCTTATCTTCTAACACTGATTAAGTTGTCTACTTACAAATAAAAGCAACATAATGATGACGCTGCCAGAATGGAACACCTTCCAATAGATGACAAACGAGTAGCAGGATCCAGGTAGAAGGTCTGGCATGGGTTATAACACTGCTAATATAATGATATCTCATCCTAGTTTATCTCAACACAAAAGATAAGTCAGGAGAGAGCTATTTTACCAGGGATGTACAATCATTAACTAGTATACATGCTCTTAGCTAGAGAAGTCTAGAACTAGTCAACAAGACTAAAAGCACCCTGTATTTAAAGTCATATACACCAGACAATCTCTTCCTGTTTTAATGACTGTGCCCCTTTCCAGTAAGGAAATGGAGAAAAGCTTGCAGAGCAGCTGGAATTACTGCAGCACACTCAGAATGGCCTCACAGAAATTTACTTCTTGGCTCAAAAACCAAGAAACAATTTCCATCTTGGTTTTTCCTACTTCCTTTCAGTATAAGGAAAACAAAAGAGGAAATAATGAACAAATAATATGAACTCTCCTTTTAAAATGCTAAGGTTTTATAACACATATGAATCTTGGCAGGTATAAATAGGAAATATAACCTGAAGATGTCAGCTTTGCTTCAAGGATCCAAGAGAGCTGGATAGCACAGATGAATTTCCAAACTGAGAAATTTGAAGGCTAGATACACGAGAAACCTCTCCCAGCTAATTAGACCAACATTAATTTATTATGAAGACAGCTTCTATGTAAAGTGGAGATTGTCAAGTGACCAAAAAACCCCCAAAATAACCCCACCAACCAACCACCCAAACTTCTTTTGGGAAGAATACCACTATCAATAGCCTGAACACAAGTCTGCTGCAAAGAGTTTGGGTTTTGATTTTTACCCATAGTCTGCAAGGAAACTTCATGTCTGCCATACCAGAAAAAAGGAAAACAAGATCTATTGCACAGAATACATCAAAAAACCTGAACTCCTACAAAAACATAAAGGAACAGATAGCAAATTTCACTCTGAAAACATGAAGTGGGGGTAGCAGTAAAAAGGAATATAATAAAAAATTCTAATGTGCTTTATTTCATTTATTTCATGGCATTTTTGACTACTTTTGACAAGAGACCACAAGTGACAACAGAACACAAGCTACTGTAGTTATAAGCAAGTAAATCAGTTGAAACTGAAGCACTTTGCCATGATAGCCACACTTTCAAACTTTGATACACAAGGCAGCACTGCTTCACATGACTGATGTGTGACAGTACCAAAGATAAGAGAAATCAGTGACTGTGGTGGCCATTTTTTCTCAAAAGAAGTTGAAACCATGGCTATTCAGAAAAATAACAGAAGCCATCTCAGAGAGAAGCTAGGGACAAGTTAGCAACCACAAGGAACTAAAACAAGTCATAAAAGCATGACATAACAGAAATCCAGACTATGGGAAAAGGACACAGTCATAGCTAGGGAAGAGTTTTACATTATGTGCTTGCAAAGGCTTTAGTTTTGGGGAATTTTTAGGGAAGCAATGCAACCAGGCATAACAAACAAGATTCTGCCAGAGACTGAAGAAATCAGTGTATTTGCTAAATTCTATGTAGCATGCAACAGCATGACAGCTTTGTGGCTTGCTGTGATTTGCCCATCCATTAGCAGATGGAATACTGCATCACAAAAGGTGCATGGTAAAACCCAGACACTCAAAACACTGATCACTTCTACACAATATTTAGAAATAAGAAATTCCCTTCCCAATATTAAAAGACAATTACACTGTCATTACTTGTCAGATTTTATCTAAAGCTTTGGCCAAGTTCAAACAGCCGAGTTAATTAAATAACACCGAAGTTCCTTCCTGCTGATGTGCCAATAGAATTGACATTCTATCGCAGATTTAAAGATCAATGTACATGTTCAATTTAAAAGGCACAGAGGGGCATATCCCAGTCATATAGAAGACTAAAAAAGAACATTTAGTAGATATAAACTCTTTTATTCCCTAGCAGAAAGGAGTGTCTGTACTGGAGTGCCATGGTATCTGCAGCTAAATATGGATTGAAAAGATGCATTTTCTTATTGTCATCACTAAAATTTGGGAGAAGCTTGGTTGGGTAGCCCAGATAAAAAGCCATACATCCAATTGTATATATACATATGCATTATTTTAGATTAAAATTACTTTTCATTTCTATGAATTTCTAATTATGCATTTCTAACTATTTTTGAGTAATGAGTCATCTCTTTAGTAAAATCATGCCCTCAACATACTGGTTTTGTTTAGAATTCTCTTTCTGCTACAGAGTTCACAGACATCATGCTAAATATTCAAAATATCACTCAAGTACCTTGAATTTTAATTTGAAGATTATGAAGATTTGAAACACATGGACTTTAACTAAATTCTCAGAACTGAGTTCCAGCCCATGGCTACAGTTCCAGCTCCAAGTGGGAGCAAAGCACTGGAGCACACTGGCTTGTGTGTGCTTGTCAGACCAATCCCAGCAGTCTGTTGCCATACCTACACTGATCCTGCCTGCACCAAACACCCCATGTAACACTTTCCCTTCCTCTACTCCCCAGACATGCATGAACTCCCTTCCTCCACCTCTCCTCCTTTTAGACTCTGGGAAAGAAATATAACAAATGTAAGTAAGGAAAAAAAAGGACATCAGTAGCTATTTTTTGTTAAGGTTGTTCATGGAATTTCAAAGCAGCAAACAATACAAATGACATTTTACTTGGGAAGAAAATCCATCTTCCAATCAACTGAAAGCAAATTTCTATCATTCTCAACCAAGCCTGCCTTCACTGTGAATGGCAGATCTTCCCTAATGAGAACAGCTTTGCTTAAGCTGAACAGAGCAAAACCAGCCCAAAGAGAAAGCAGATCACAGAACTCTGTATAAAACAAGAGGTATCAAAAAGCCCCACAGCAATGCTTAAGCTACTTACTATACTTCATTAAGAGATCCATGTTAACATTAATTTTTAACTCCAAGTAAATTTATGAAGCCTCGAAAAGATATTTCAGCAAGCGGTACTTAATAAATGGAGAGAAGACATAAATTCTGTAATGCATGAAGTAAACATAGCTTTAACTTAACTGTATTCTTCAGAGACCTACAAAAATTAAAAATACCAGTAGCTTTTTGAAAAAATCACATTTTCTATGGAGTCTTTTGTGGGTTTTTTTCCCCTATTGTTTTGAAGTGCAGGTGTGTGTAATACCACACAGTTTCTTCAGACTAAGTAGGGTTTATGTTATTGAGAAGAAGTGTTGTTTGTTTTGATTGCACAAAATTCAGACCCTTTGCTTTGGTTGCATTCCAAGTTAGAATAACTTTCTTTCCAAAACTCCAAATTCCAAAGAGGCATGGCAAGATGCACAGTTACAGCCCTTAGAACTGTGTATATATACATATATATATATATATATATATAATCAGACAATGACTCTCAAATCACAGACCAATTCATAAATTCTTTACCTATATACCACTGTTTCTCTCTCTGTAATACTACGAATTAGTGATTTAATTAGAGCATTCATATTTAGACATATGAATTCCAAACTTTAGTTATTAGCTTGGGTCAAAATTAAGAACTAGCACAGGCACCTAATGAACCCTATACTGTTAAAGTTCCTGATGAACCTTTAAGAAAAAACTAAGTTGCTGAAATCTTGTAAATTAAAAATATATTACGAGATAATTAAGAAAATGGCCCAAGTCAAAATACAAAATATTCTTACCCATGAATATAGAACACATCTCTTGAATGAAGAATTGAAAAGCTCAGAGCTGTGTTTTAAATCCAGATGGATACCTCATCATCAGAGACCTGAAAATCAGGGATGTCAAATAAGTCACACAATAACCAACTTCAGGAGTGTACATTCAAATGCAATACCTGAAACTCCCAAAGATACCATAAAACCAAGAACAGCAGAATTAATACACAATCACTAGTAGCTATGATTTTATAAGTGTCTGGTGAATAGGTACATATTCATTTTGTAGGACTACTAAAAATAACCCAAGTCTACAAACCCCTTAGGATGAAGGGTAGTTTGTGCCACAATCCCAAAAAGTTTAGGCTAACTTTAAGTACTCCAAACCAGCAACTGCAAAAAGAAAAGTTTTGAGGTTATGTTTCAAACCTGTCAGTCTGAGAAGCCTGCACATGTCTCTGAACAGCAGTGAGCTGTTCCACTCTGACAGTGGACCTCAATGGGAACTGACAGTGCCTTTTGGGGAGAGAATACCTGCATGACAGTTTTATCCTGTTCCTTGCCTTGGCACAAGGTAGAGGAGCTCAATTTCAAGAGGTTCTCTTTTAATCTGAAAGAGGCTTCAAAACATCACAAAGTTTAAGGGAAAATGTGTGCAGGGGGGTTCTAGGGCCACTGTGTAAAAGCCTCAAAGCACACAAAACCACCCTCTAACAGTGAAAGACAGACAGAAAGTTTGTATATGAACTGAAATGCTACACCAGTGTGTTTTTCCATTTCAAAAATATGATTATTGTGTCCAAGGCACCAAACATCCTCCAATTCCAATACAAAGATTCCTGTCTTCCTAAATACAGTTTTGTGATGCCAAAGTCTTTAACATTTTTGCAGAACTATTACTGCAGATCGATCTTCAAACTTTGTTAAAAGATAACATAGCATATAATACTGCATTGAGAAGCTGATTTTAACAAAATTATTTCCTCTCCCTACATCTTTGAAACAATGCTTTAACATATGTGGAAGACATAAATTGGTTATAGCAGCTACCAAATCCTCCAATGTTCCAGAAAAAAAAAATTATCTGGTACTAATTTGGTACATAAATTGCTACATTTATCCTCCTCCTATCCACTAACTTCCCAAGACTTTTTCCAAGGTTGCTAAATAAAATGTCTCTGCTCTGCAATAGGGACACTTCATGCAGAGAGGTATTTTTCTAAAATTCATATGATACAAGCACATACCCAACATTTCATATACCTAGGGGAAAGTTGCTAAAATACCTTTATCTTTGCTTACCATTTATGTGAACTGATGATAATTTTGTATCAAAACAGACAGAAAACTTGCTCTAGATGTTCCCTTTTTCTATACTGGAAATCCCATCATACAAACAGAGCTCCTGTCATGCACAACTCCTCTTCACATGCAGAAATTAGAAAGGAGTTTGAAACTATTTAACTGTCAGGTCCTGTGCAACATTTTAATCTATTTTTGCTCTTGTTTTCAATCTCTGCTTATTTAGAAGTTCTTTGTTGGCTAAATAAAGTTAAAGCATAAAGATTTCACAATATATACAGTAACTGAATAGAGGCATTCAAAACTTTTGTATTTGACAAACAAAAAACTGAAAACTTGCAATCAAGTAATTTATTCTACCTGTAAGAGTTCAACAGTAAAAAAGAAACCTAATTCACCTGTAGCTACCATATAAGACAAATGCTATCTTAAGTTCTTGGCTAAAACAGCTGTGTATTCTTCCTCAACTGGATTGTTCTTGAATCCTCAAAATAAAGAGAAAAAAAGGTATTTCTTACTCTTTAGAACAGTGTCCACTTGAACAGCTTCCAATATGGAGACAATTTTGGAATACTTAAAAGTTTGAAAAATCCTACAAAGAAGAAAAAAACCATATGTAACTAGATATACATTCACCAGGTCTGCAATACATTATTCTAAATGTGAAATACAAAAAAAATACTTCTGACAACAGAAGATTTACTAATGATTATATAAAGTGCCAAAGAGAAATCCACACAAAAGGAATGTAGAGCTTTTATAAGCTCCAAAATGGGATCTCCACAGATTCTCACATAAGCTATATTGCATGTGAAGTTTGAAATATACATATATATGCATGTTACATGTGATATGTTAAAAAATTACTAAATGTTAAGCATTACTCTTACTGAAAAAAAAAAAAAAAAAAAAAAGGCAAACAACAATATTTTGGCTTTTTCTCTAAATAGCTGCAGGAGGTGTCAGAGGAGGGACCAGGCTCTGCTCCTGGGGCCCAGCAATGGGACAGAGGAAGGGGCAGGAATGGTGTCCAGGGAGTTCCACCTGGAGATGAGCAAGTCATGTTAATATCAGTAATTATCAAGTAAGGTTGTGGAGGTTTGTGTGGTTTGTGCAGGTTCTTTGCTGTGCAGGGCCCGAGCACGGAACAGCCTGGCCAGAGCCTGTGGAGTCTCCTTGCTGGAACATTCCAGAACTGTGTGGACACAGCCCTGTGCCTGTGCTCTGGGGAATTCTGCCTGACCAGGGAGGTTGGACCTGGTGACCCACTGTGGTCCCTTCCAACCTGCACCATTCTGTGAGTCTGTGATTCTTATTTTGGACACTAAACCACAAAATTTTATACCCATTTTCTAACAGGAAACAAACAACTCATTTCAATTAGTTGAGAATGGCTACACAAATTTCTATTTTTTAAAACATCATGTAAATTTAAATAAAACAGTTTAGTTTTGCACAACATCCCTGTGTGCTTTTATCTCTTCAGTCTTGGCAAATACCTTTAGAAAATTTACCAGCACCAGCTGAAGACATTATTATTTTCAAATACCTTCTTCACCTTTCTGCCAAAGGTTATTGCCCTCAAAGCACACCTGCAGAACAAAACATGTAGGTGTGCATCTGCTGCTTCAGCATATAGCCTCCCAATTTAGTTTTAACCCTTCCTCTTGTTTGTTTAACAGACTTTGCATGAAAACGGCAGAAATGTATATATACTTTTTATTTTGTCATTTATATCCTGTGGGCATTAATTGCAATAAAGGGACAATAATAATGCGAGAATGACAACATGTTAATCAGCTGCTATTTACAGAAATCTAGAAAGATACCAGGAGTTTGGAATACCTTACTGCAAAGCACAGAGTTGATCCCCAAGTCAGTTTATTTTAATGAAAACAGCTGTTAGGAAGTTCATGTGTTTGGCCACCAGACTACTGAAGGAATCCATATTAGTAACCAGTACTGCTCACACAATACTGCAATTTTGTTTCTCTAAAGTGTACCTGTGGAGATTTTCAAAAATTTCAGGATTTCAATGATTTCCTTCTAATCACTTTCTTTCTAATATCAATAACAAAAATGTCCCATGTTTTGTTCTTCAGATTTGAATTCCACTACACCCAACCTTTTTTCCTTTTAGTGTATCTGTACAAAATACAAATGTCTTTGGACAGTCTCTGTTTGAAGTTTAGTTGTCAAAAGAGAGTAACATACTCAGTGTAATGTAGTTATAGTTTGCAGTTTGCTTCTGGTCACTAGCAAGAGTTACACAAACTTCCTTGTAAGTTTAAAAAGAAAATCTTCTGGTGCTGCTGAGATTTTAGATGCAAACATTACAGGCTATCTATTGTTTTGTTATCAATTTCTGTGTTACACCTCAAATTAGAACTACGAAATATATTTCTGAATTCCAGTATTTTTCCTCAAGAACATATAGGCCATTTTAAGATACAGAGAAATATTTGCATTAAAAATCAGAAAAAAACCTTTTTATTTTCACATGTGGCCTAAACCAAGATTTCATTACAAAACATAAGAGGCAGAAGACTTCAGAGCACAGCCCTCTTTCAATTCACAATCTGATAATACAGTATCTTCCAATAATGCTCATGTTCTACCCTGATAAGCATCTTTGGGAACTACTGCAAGTTTATAACCTGGAAGTACCAACTAGAACAATGCAAAGGATTGTGCCTGTTTTACAGATGCCTATGGGTCCTGACTGATGAGTACAGACAGGGGTGAAGGCTTGAAATAGACAGAAATCTGCACTGGGGAAAAAAAAAGCACAATTTCAAGTCTTTCATGTAGGTGGAAGATATAACTACAGTAGCTTTACTACAGGGTAATTGAAAACAAATTTATTGTATTGAAGTGTCAGATTTCTGATAACATATGGAATATCAGATGGGCATGGCATATCAGATACTCATGGCATTACACAAATGAAGCCTTTCTGAAGCTTAAAAGTTTCTTCACTAGGGTGTTAAGTATCAAATGTAATCAACCCATTTCTCTTCAAAAGCCATTTCCAGAACAGATTTTGGAGGAATTCCTGAATTTTAGTGACCAGTATAAAAGAGTGAACAAACCTTTCAATACTGCTTATGCAGTACAAGCAAAGTGCCCAAGAAAACACTGCAGACGGAAACAATTTGGTAACCAGAGTTACATTTTCTAATATGACTCAGATAAAGAACAAAGTCAAAATTACTATTTGTCTCCAGAAAAAGGATGGGAACATTTTTCCATCTTCTTGCAAATTCTAACTCTTGATTTAAGATTAAAACAAAAATATATCACTTACAAAGAGAAAGATGCATGTACACTGCCAGCCTAAAGACATTAATATTTGGCAGCACCTGGATAATCTGCATGAATGAAGTTGAACATTTCAACACATCTGCTCACTGACAGATGCCATATCTTACCAGAATTTCTGCTGAATTCTGACTTGTAAAAAAATGCTTCCTACCTTGTAACATTTTTCTTGCAGCTTAGAAAGTGAATGTATTGTAGAGTCAGCACTGCAAGTGGAACTTGGATCCAAGGTGCTTCCAAAAGTAGCCTTTTACTTCATCACTAGAGCTCACTCTAAGAGGTAGCAGAGCATACATCTGAATTCTGTTACATACACATTTTAAAAGTACTCCTAAAGTCCTTGTGTTTCTGAAGTCAAGATAAATTTTCATTACCCACACTGTTAAAAAACATTTAGAATTGGTCTTCTGCAAGTTTTCAACACTGCAGTTATGCAAAAACACAGTCATTGTAAGCCACATAATGCTTTTCTCCTGTAACACTTGTAGGAAAAAATACTGCTTAAAAACTGTCTTTCCTCCTCGCACAACTGTAAATAAGAAAGTTGTGTGTTCAGCTGACTCTCACATTTATGATCTGGTCAGATTAAACATGGGAATCTTGCTGCTCCTTCAGCCAAAGCAAAAGCCGCAAATACTTTTCAGTTGCTGTTTCATCAGCAAAATAATCACTTCTTATCATGACAATTTCTTTTGCTGAAGGAGAAAGAGAATACCTCAACAATATAATCATGTTAACTATCAATTCTGGAAGGTTTGACTAAATACATAGCTGGTTTCTCCATCACCCATTCCCATGCACTCGGCTACCCCAGGTTCCTGAGGCTGCACCTCTGACTACAGGAAGAGCACTGGGAAATAGAACGGGAGCACAGGTAAGTGTGAGATTTCAGTCTTCATGAAGCTCACTGCTCCATGGAGTGACAGGGCCAAGGCCATCAAAAGGACAACTCCAGATAGGTGGATGGAAGAATATAAAGTATTGACAAAATCAGGGTTAGGAAAGAATCTGGGTGTGATGGGCTACCAGACTTCAGTTAAACACAGCAATGTTTCAGCTGGATGATTTATAAACACAAGTACCAAGCACTACTGAGAATTCAGTTCATCTATAATGGTGGAAACACAGAGAATGAATTCCTATTCATCCTATTCAGTGATGAATAGGATATGCCATTTGAGTCCATCCTAAATTGCATGAAAATTATCAAAGAAATGCACTTTGGGCACGTCTTTCTACTAGACTGATACAGAAGAAAAAAAATGCACTGTAAGGAATCTGAACCTATAAAATATGTAATTGTCCAGCTTACCTGTACTTTTAAAGTGTCTGAAGGATACACAGACCATAAATATAGGGAATATTTTTATTGTAAGATACATTAAAAAAACCCCTGAAAACTAACATATAAACCAAACAACGTGCACTTACTTACTTCATCGGTTTCAAAACAAGACAATTTTAAAGCAGCAGGTCAATCTTTTGGGTTTAATCTGCCTGCATCATTAACTTTTCTCACTCATAAAAGCAAACAAATTAAACTTGTGTGCTTTAGGGTCTCTATAGTGTCTCAGTAGTGGTTCATGTCATACATCTTTTAGATAACACCACTAAGAATACTTTTTAAAAACCAAACTCTGCTTTCATCATCATTTTAGCATAACTGAATTCTTGGATAATCTTTAGCACAAGCAGCTCATGAGAAATGAGAATGTGCTGAGACTCCTCAAAATTCCTGAAGAACTCTTCAACTTCAAATTCCACTTTTTTTACAGTAAAAATGATAACCTTACTCTGAGTGGCATGAATTAGTATGGCTTCACCAGGAAAGGCAGCACAGAGTTGTATAAATAGAACAATTTGGTTAATACAAATAAGCAAGTTAGCACAAAGTAAAACAGCACAGATGCACTGTAACTCCTTAGGGGCCTGCCCTTGTGATCTTATAAATGCAAAGGAAATTGATGCAGCTGACTCACTAACAGGGATAGAAAAAAACTCCTTCACATTTACTTTAAGGTAAAGAGTCCACAATGGCCCTCGACCACAGAGCTGTTGATAAGTGAAGCTCACATCCTACCTTGCTTCCCACCAGCTTCTCCATCAGCCTGTGAGTTATGGGCAAAGGGCCTGGCACACTGATCCCTGCATTGGTTAACATTCAAAAACCTGTCTACTAAATTGTGCTCTTTGGTTTACACAATCTGGGCATTGAAGTCCATGGCACACTGGAAGCCTCATCTGACAGATGTGGGAAGAATGAAAAAGTCATTATTAGTTACAGGTGTAAGGTGTTGGGGCTGTCTAGAAACCAGTAAATGAAAAAGCTATTAATTTCTACTCTTTCTTTAACAGTTCACAAAGTCTAAGATAGGAATAATTATTGATTTTAAGATACTTACTTTGTGAAACTAACAAAAAGTTGATCTGTGCAACAACAAACTAAAATTCAGAGACAGGATAAAAATCCAAATTTTGCTCCAAAATGAGCAAAATATATTAATATATTTTAATATTTTATAAAATATATTCATATTCTGCCTTGAAATATAAGCACATGTATAACTGCACACCAATGATTACATGTGAAACAAGGTGAAATAATTGTTTTTACCTCACACCTGCCAACTTGGAACTTGATGGTGTCGAATGATCCAGGTTTAAAAACAGTTGCCGTGAGCTTTCAGCAGGAGCCTAGTTCTCCTGAGAGAGGAGAGTTACTTTTTAAGGCTACTTCTTAAAAGTCTCAAAAAATACACAAGAGAACTAGAAACCCTATCCTGTCACACAGATTGTTACTTTGTCCCCCATGAGTAGGGACTGTAACACTGAAGGGTCCATCTCTCTTCTGCATGATGGAGGGACACCGAGCTGTATTTTCTCACACGGATGAAGTTAAATGGCTTTCCTAACTGAAGGAAGTTCTCAGCTGCTCAAGATTCAAGGCACTTATGATACAACAGTGAGGAAAGCAAACCATTTCCTACAAACTGAAAGTGTGTGCATCAAGCTTGTTGTCAAAGCTATCCAGCCAAAATGAGAGAATTCAAAATCCTTTCCAGATGGTTTTTATCCCTGTTCACAAAAAATTTGTGTGCAAAGAAGAGGTTTTAACCTTTCAGTGTGTTAAGCCTCAGAGGGAAATGTGACCATCTCCCCACTTCACTGGAATAAAGATGCATGCCACCTATCCACTCAGTGCCATCTACCAACAGCACCGAGCTGGCCTCGAAATCCTCTCCTTGTCATCCCTGGAGGAGGTCAGCTTGCAGCCCCTTGTGGGAAATCACCAGTCTGTAAATTCTAACCCTGCACTTTGACAGACAAATCCCTTTTTAAGTCTCCACCCATGCAGTGGGAACCTGTGGCCATGCACCACCAGCTTTCCTCAGCCCAGGAGGAGAGCAGTGCTTGCCCATCTCCATCTCTCCCGGACACACCTCACCCACTGCCAACCCTCCCTGTCACCTTGCCTTCCCCTGCTCCCACGGAGGGATCATGCTGGGGTCAATCCAAGCCAGGGGGCTGCCAAACTCAGCTCCTCTTTTTCTTACTGCTTCTCTTGCCCTGGGAAATTATTTTAATTCCTCCCTCTACCCACCGCTATTCTCTTGTGTGGTGAGAAGCCGGGTCTGCCATGCCCACTGTTCTGCCTGGGTGGCTCTGCATCCCTTCCCTGCCTCGCACTCCCTTCCCAAACGACACAAGGTGGCCGGGGATATTTTTACCTTCCCTACCTTCATCCACCCAACCCTTTTCTCCCACTGCCACCTCCTCGGCGGGGGAGAGGGACATGCAGCCTTTCCCTCTGACTCCCCTAAGGAGACCAGCCCTCTTCCCTTCGCCCTGCCATCTTCTTACCTGTTAGCGAGCAGGACGTTCAGGCTCTCCCCCACCTTGAGACCCCGGCAAGGCCCCAATTCCTCCCCTCCAACTTCACCCCCACCCCCGGCCACCCC